GGAAAAAGTTAATTGGACAAATAGTTTAAAAGTTAAATGAGTTTTAGGTAAATAAATTGTAATTTCATCCTTGTTTATTAGTTAAACCTATTTAGGCAATTTACATTTCTAACTAGACAAGTAAGCTGTGCATTGAATTTCAGACTAGTGAGATGCGTTTTTTTTTTTTTTTTTTTTTTTTTTTTTTTTTTTTTTTTTTTTTTTTTTTTTTTTTTTTTTTTTTNTTTTGTTTTTTTTTTTGTTTTTGTTTTTTTGAAAAAGTAGAGTTTTTGAATTGCGCTTTGCATGAACAAAACCTTCGCAACTATTTATTCTATGAACTTAGACTTGTCTCATTAATGTGTAAAATTGCATCGATAAATATATTTTACTTTACTAGACAGCTGACTAAGTAGTCAAATGTTTTAAAAGGAAAAATATAAAATTGAACTTTTAAAAATAAAATCCTTGTAACTTCGTAACTATTAAATCTATCGTCTTGTTATTAATCTTATTCAATACAGCGTGAAAACTGCATGCGTAATGATAGAATAATAAAAAAAATGTATCTTAAATGAATGAAGCTTTCTGACAAATTACTTCAAATTGTGGGTATACTGAAAATAGTTCATTAAAGAAAAGAACTTAAGTTATTTTGAAGCATAATGCCCTATTCTTTTATTTTAAAAAAAGTAGAAAGACTGGAAAACTTAATGTTAAGTTCACTTTTCACGTATTACACCATGTCTTGAAAAAGTTTTGAATGAATTGGAACATTTTTGAGTAAGTCATTTATATGAAGATAAATTCATACACAAAAATATTTTCATATTATTTATTATTTTTTATTATTTTATTTATGATAGCTGAAAAAAATTTTGAATTGCAAGGTATGCAAATTTTTACATCCTTTTAGTAAGGTAATTTTAAATGCCAAAATACAAAATTTGAATGAAGTTGAGCAAATATTTAAGTTATAAAATGTTTTAAAGCAAGTCGTATGTTTAAAATTTGATTTCACACCCGAACAATCCGGCCTAGTTCACTCAAATTTTGTATTTTGGCATTTAAAATTACATTCTTCAAAATGATATAAAAAATTTTATACCTTACAGTTTAAAACTGTTTCGACTATTAAACAAAACAATAAAAAATAATAAATATCTTTTTAAATTATCTTTTGAGAGAATTTATCTTTGGAAAAATGCATTTAAAAATTGTGTATGAAAGCTTTTTTATTCACTTAAAAAGTTCTCGAGTTATGCAGAAATTTGCAAAAAATAAAATTAACACTAGGAGTTTGAAACTTTTGTCTGCTCTCCTGACTGAACTACTGGGACTATATTTCGCAGACTTTGGCTCCATGTCCCTCGAGTACGTTTTTGTGCCTGACTTCGTAACTTAAAATATCATCTCCATTAATTAATTAGTATATTTGCGGTCATCCTCTCGAACAATTAAAATTGAGCCCTAGAACGTAAAGATTCGATCTTAAAATCAAAAGTTATTTAGGAGGGTTTGTTTATTATTTTTGAGCACTGTACAACTAAAAACGTTATACATGACAGAGGATCACATAAATATTGCAACAAACTTTTAGAGTAGTTCAGGCACATCATCAAAATTAAAACTGTACAGGAAACCATGCCTGGAAATGTCGTTATAGGCCGCTAGAGGTGCTTCCATATTATGAACTGCTTCTTCGTGTATTTCTGATCAGGTCATAGTAGAGAAGTGCCCTTTGGACAGCACAACGACATTTCCATGTATGGATTTCTATGCAATTTTAATTCTGATGATGTGCCCTAACTCACCTAAAAGTTTGTCGTGAAATTTGCGCAATGCCCTGTTACATATACCGTTTATAAAGTTATACGTTCGAGAGAGTAAAAATGTCTTTTCAAAAAAATCTGCAGCTTTACGAGCAAAACTAATTTCAGATTCAAAATCCTCATACCCGTATTAATCAAGATTATGTATTTATATAAATGCAACAAAAAAAATTTTCCAAAGTGTAATTCATTGATTTTAGCGACTTTCAACAAGGTGATAAAAATCTCGCCAATTTTGTGATTTTTTTAAAAAAAACTTTAATACCTTTTAAAGTATCTTAGCTATATTTATATATTAAGCTTAATTTTTATCACTCTAAAGGCCATATAATTCTTAAAGGAAATATGGTTTATATAGTTTAAAATAATAGCTTCACCTCGAGCGTAAAACACTTAAACTTTTTAATTAATTTATTTATTTTACTTGGCAAAAGAGCTTCAAAATACGCTTAAACCTGCACTATAAGCTAATTTGTTAAAATGTCAGAGCTATAAAATTTGTTAAGGCTATCCATTATTTTAATTTTATTGCTCGAATTATTTGCTTTTGTCTTAGTATAAAATATTTAATCGATTTCGTAGGGTAAAATATTTTATCCACTAAACTAAAGTAATATTGTTTTTAATTATGATTTAAATCAACAAATCATTGTTAAAAAATACTTCCATCTAATAACCTTGGCGTAGAAACTTTTATAATTAAAGATTTTAGTTAACGAACAGTATAAAACACTCTCAAAAAAGGAAGTTATGAAATTTAGTTCCCGAAATTAAGAAGATAATGCATTTTGCTGTAAGTTCGGGAAATAAATTTATTCTAATTTGTTTTGAATTAATAAGCTTTTCAATGAAATAAACCATTTTGTTTGTAGCTTTTTACAATTTAAGCTAATTTTCAGAATTTCATTGTATCATAAATGCCAGTTGTGTGAGATTATATTATTACACGACAAATTTCTAATGTGAAATCCTTGTTATTCCACAAATTCCATTTATTTTACACTGCCAACGATTTCTAAAACTCACTGTTGGAATCTTCATTCTAGAATTTTAGTAAAAAAAAAGGCAGCAGTCTGCCTATCTAATTAACCCATCTAATTACTGGTTTTAAAACCATTTGCAACTAGTATGGTTTAAAAAAAATATGAATTCAAAACTATAAGGTTTCTTAAGCATTTACAACTGGCATGGTTTCTAAACCGTAAAAGGAGAAATTTAACTGGACATTAGAGATAGTTTAGCAGTTTAATGTTGCTTTCTCTATGCGTGAGTGAGAGTATGGTATTTTAACAGTCCAGGGTCACAAATTGAAAAGTGCAGGGCACTGGGAACTCTTCATGTGTTGAAGGGAAAGGAGGAAATATTGTAGTGCAACGCTGGGACTCGAACTTCGATCTGTCGGTCATGAGATTCATAGATTAACCCTCTCAGCTACAATATGTACCCATCTACTAGGAACTAAGTAGCTTCATTAGGTGGGTTCATTAGTTCGTGCGATAAAATTCTGGTTGTTTAACCGTATTAGGTGAAATCAATTTATAAACGATTTTCTCACCGTTAACAGTTTGAATATCATCATATTTAATGGTTATTTGACTGTTTTACTTGAATATGGTCAAATAACAATTAAATAAATAGTTATTTAACCATTTTTTCCGATAAATTTCTAACATTGCTGTACAAATGTATTCTTTAAGTTTTTGTAATGTTTTCAGCATCAATAGCTCCTAAGCAGTGTCTTGGGTGGACGTGAGACAAGAGATTTATCCTTAACGAGGCCAGCAAGATCCGAGGACCTTATGCCATATGATTTCGTTTTTGGGGTTACGTCAAAGACATTATTTATGAATCATATGCTGAAAACTCTTCAAGAACTCATTTGTGCAGTGCAGCGTTAGGTATCATTGAGGACACAAAACAATCGAATGTGCAGAACGATATAGATTACTCGTTAGAAGTTCGCATAGTTATACTTTAGTAGTTCACACAACGAATTATTCCATATTGTTCTTCGATTTCGTGTAAAACTTAATGTACTTGTAAAAGAGTAATAATTCCATTTCTATAAACAATATTTATACAGCATTCAATTGGCGATAAGCATTCAATAGGCGAATTCAACAGCAATATTTCCACTTATTACTCGGAGAAAAATATTCTGGCAAATTTGCTAGGAAAATTACATTTCAGGAAAAAACAAAACATAATTCTGGTATTAAAAACCAAAATATACGCTGTATAAACCATTCATTTACTAATTTTTCCGTTCATATACCAACAGTTTACCGGAAATTCTGGTTTTCAAAATTAAAATTTCTATTACGACACATTTAGTAAACAATCCAAGACAGAAAAATAAGTTTAACCAAATATACAATTTTTATGCCCTGCTTTAAGGTATCAAGATAAAAATAACAAATTTTACAAAATTTACCTGTTTTTACCAAATTTGAAACTTTTATCACATATTATAACATATTTTACTGTTAATTTTATTAAAATCATCACTAAAACACTTCAGTAAAAATTTCTGAACTTTTAGTTGCTCCCGTAGACCCAAAAATACATTACATTTTGCCATATTCTGGTAGATTTGACCATACTTTTTTTAACAGTGTTTTTTCTTTTTATTCTACTGCCTTACCAATTTGCTTTTGCAAGAAACTTTTTTCATAATAACGCTTATTTTCATTATTAAGAAATCATAATGGCTTTTGAAATAGATAAAAAGCATTTCTCTCCTTATACCGTTAAATGTATACAAGCTTATTTACTTTACACCAGTCAAGAGTGATTCAATAATAGAATTTAAAAAAACAGGCTTTTAAAAAATTCCGAATATGTATGTATGTAGAATATGCTAAAAATACGTAATTTTAAGTTTCATTACATTGTACGTGTTATCCAAAAATACGAGGACTATCTTTTAACAAAGAAAAAATTGATAGGAAATGTTTTTTTCTCTTAATTGAAATATGCATTTTCGACACACCCAAAAGTAACTCACTCTTGAAGTCAAAGAACAAAGATTTTGTCAGAAAACTCAACTTTAAAACATGTCTTCAACCTTTCGAGTTTATTGAAGTGTACAATTCCTCTTTATAACTTATTCATATCTTCTGGTATAGCAAACTCCACGTGAACAGTCTGTGCTATAAAAGAGCGTCCAAACAAGACATCGTCACAATCGTTTCAAAAAGCTCTAATCGCCAACAGCAGCATTTTCGCACCCAAGCATGCCTCAACTCGTAGTTGCACTTCTCTTCTCTTTAGTTTGCTGCTCTTTAGCTGGACCAGCAATCGTTCCAGCAGCTTTTCCAGGACAAGTTCCAGTTCTAGCAGCTCCAGAGCCACCAAAACCTTACGAATACGGGTATGAGTTCGGAAATGGACTGGGAATGACTCAACATCGTCATGAAGTTGCTGATGGTACTGGAGAAGTCAAGGGTAACTATGGATACCTGGATCCCATTGGAGTCTACAGGAGAGTTGAGTATACTGCTGGAGCCGATGGGTACAAAGCTATCATCCACAGCAATGAACCAGGGCTCTCAAGCCAAGCAGCCGGTGATGCTCTTTACGTGGTGGAACTACCACCCCCAGCTGCTGTAGCTCAAGGTCTCAGAGCTGCAGCCGAACCTGTAGCATCACTTAATTATGTATAAAATCTAATTATGTTTTTGTACATAAATAAAAGCGATTAGAGCAATGATGTATATTTTCACTGCTATCAAAAGTTTAAAAGCAAATTATTTCTATATAAGTGATTTTTCCCATTAAAATATTTTCTGCAGATAGGATATAGCTCCCAAATGTCAAAGCCTTATGAAACTGTAAAACAAATACCATCAAAAAGTACGTTTACGTACGTACAAAACTGATATTTAATTAAACTAGTTGAATGTCCCAGCTGAAAAAGCTTGTAAATGAACAGAATAAGATCATGAAAAAGTCAATAGGAAGAGTATTTCAAAAGTTAAAAGGGTTTTAAGCAAATTAATTGCAATTTCGTGCTTGCTTAGTCTCTGAACCTATTTATGCATTTTTCATTGCTCTCTAGACAAGTGAGGTATGCCTTAAAATGTTTTTTAAGCTGAATTAAATGAAACTGAACTGCTTTAATTGAATTAATATTTCCAAAATTGTATTTGTTTTCTTTTCGTGAAAAGTGCTATTTTTGAATAGCACTTTGTACGAATAAAATCCTTGCAACTCTTTCTTCATTGGACTCAGATTTGCGTCATTCAATTTAGAGTAAAAAGTTTATCTTGAAAGTCTATTTTACTAGCATAGACGGTTGACCAGTTAGCAAAATCGGATTTGCAAATAAGAAAAAATACAAAATTGTATTTTTCATAAATAAAAGCCTTATAACTTCTAAACTATTAAACCAATTGTCTTGAGATCAATCTTCGTTAATTCAGAGTAAAAATTGCATCTTGAACATTTTTAAATATTGCAACTTAAGCATTGCAACTCTTTACCACTTGCTCTGGAGAGTGTGCATCAAATTACAAGTATTAAATTACTGGTTTATCAAATCACAACTTTTTTTTTCGTTTTTGGGATTTCAAATTAAGAATTCTATTTTCGCTCTGCTAAAGCAAATGGGCACCATTTCTAAAGTTTTGATTTGATCTTAAATTAATATTTAAACAATTATACTGGACTATAATGAGAAAGAAATCCAGAAGATCTAGATCCTCAAAGTTTGTTTTGCAATGATAGAATGATTACAAATAATATATCTTCGAAGAATCTAGGTTTGTGACAAATTACTTCAAATTATGGGGAGGCTAAAGACAGTTCATAAAAGAATAAAACGTATGTTATTGGACTATCAATGCCTTATACATTTATTTAAAAAAAACAGTATAGGAAGTTTAAGAGTATGCTACGGTGTTTGAGTTTTAACACCAAAATTAAAAAAAAAAAAAACAAAAAAAGACGGATAATAAAAGGAAGAAGGAAAGAAAATTTTATTATGTAATATTATAATTATATATCATTCAGACTTTAACTAAACATTACTCAATAACAGCCAAAATAATGCCTTTTTCATAAATTTCCCTTTTATTTAAGTAGTATAAAGAATGGATGCAGTATGATGATGTAGGCCACCATTAAAAATAATTTTGGACTTTTTAGCTACAATATTTCTTGACCCATCTGTGTCTAGCGTCTTTTTAAAAATACGGTTAATTTTTGTCGAAATAAGAAATGTAGCAGCACAGCTGTTTCATTTTTATAATCTTTTGTAGCAACAGATATTTTTATCTACCATAATATAATATTTCTCGAAATTTGAAGTCAAATTATTATTCAATTAGTCTATCTTGAAATTTAATAAGTTATGTAACAGAAAAAAAATATCCGCATGATATCAAAAAATATGTACAGTGCTAAAAAAAAAGGATCATACTGAATAACTTTTGATCTAATGATCGGAATTTCACTTACTAATACTCTATATCAATTGTTCGAGGTCCTATGCTAAAATATGCTCATTCATTAGTTTAGACGGTATTTTAAGCTACGAAATTAAATACAAAAACATACTTTCTCTGAATAAACATACCTCTTTTTCGATGGATTTGGACTCGTGATCCTCAAAATATGGGGCCAATAGGTCATAATTAGCTGATAATAGGTCATAATTAGTTGTAACACTTAATGCTAATCTCATTTTTCGCGTAGTATGCCATATTCTTTAAAAGTTTTAAAAGAATTGGAATATTCCTGCATACAAAAAAAGAATTCATTTAAATAAAGATAAAATCTTGCAAAATATACTTTCTAACAATTTTTAATGCTTTATTTAATAATATTCGAAAAAAGTTTTAATCGTAAGATAAAGAAATATTTACATTTTAACGATTGTAATTTTAAAATATTGATATTTAAGCTATTTTTCATTCGGAAGGCCAGATAATATACATATATTATCTGGCCAGATATATATATATATATATATATATATATCATTTCTGTTTCTCGTTGGCAACAGAAAAGTGAAATATCAATCATGTGAGCGATCATAGTCATGAAAGCGTAAACGTACAAGTTTACAACTTTGTGAATGAAAAATTCTTTTGCGAGGACAACGAAAAGCTAAAACGAACTGATCCTAAAGTATGGAATGATTTAAAGGTTAAAAGTAATGAGTTCATATCAGCAAAGTGCCCTTTTTACATTTTAATTTTAGTTATGCAAGTTCAATAGTAATACTTATATTTGCTATTATTATTAATCATTGAAAAACGAGTGTTAGTCTTGTTGTAACGCTCTCTAAGTGTAATTAAAAAGAGCGCTCAAAGAGCAGAAGGAAACAGTGATGACATTTATGAAAGACGCAGCAGTGAAAGAATGCATGAAAGACACGCCGTCGTTCATGTTGATGTTTGAAAGCATAACTATTGCTTTGTTTCTGCAAATTTTTCTATTGCTTTTCACTTATTTCAAGTTAAAATTTTTAATTCAGTAACTTATTATAGACTAAAAGTTTTAATTTTTTAAAGCAGAATTTGTTTTAAAAAATTTAATAATTTATTTAAGTTCGTAATATTTATCACTAGAACTCATTTCAAACTAATTGACTTAGTAGCGAGTAAAGCCATGTAAGTTTGCAAAACCATATAAGATTGCATACCAATTTTTGGGGCTTTGAGGAGTGTGATCAACCAGGAGTTGGAGCCCACTAGTGGAACATATATAGTTTAAAATTATAGCTTTGCCTCAAACGTAGGCAATGTTGTTTTTTTTTCTTTCTTTTTAAGGAAGAGCTTTAAAACCTACACTGAAGCAAACACAGTATGACAATGGGCTGACTTGAGAAAGTGATAAAAATATTTTACGCTCCATCCTTTTACCTGCGTCTTTAGCTGTGTTGCTCAAATTATTTGCCACAATAAAAAATATACATTTTTATTAATTAATTTAGTAGTGGTTAATTTCTAGTTAAATATTTTATGCTTTTTGCAAATTGGCGTAATATTTTAATAATAACTACACCATACTTTTCATAAAGTTTCTATAAATAATCTGACACATGAACATAATCATTATTTTTTAAGCATATTTTCACAAATATTTCTAAGTTAACGAAGCCGAATGCTTATTAGCAGGACCTTATCAGTCCCAAAATTGCAAAACTCTTGTATTCTTTGAGAAATCCGGAGAAAAAAAAACTGAAACTGAAAGTATTAGGTAAATTTTGTCCTCGTAGTGCAGGTTCACTCTTGCCATTACTGCAAAGTTTTCATTTTATCCCAGTGTTTTTATTTCTATCCCAATGTTTTTATTTTCGTAAAATATGTAAAATAAAATAACATATTACTTCCAAGTGTTTTCATTTTAAATAATAAAATTCTTAAATTTTAAAGAGCAATTTTATACCTTTCGCATTTGAGAAAGGTAAACGTCTAGAAAATTTCTCAATAATCATGAGACAATACAAACAAATACTTGTAAAAGAGTAATATTTTCTCATTTGAGAAAGGTGAACTTCTAGAAAATTTCTAAATTCTATATAATTATGAGACAATAAAAACAAATACTTGTGAAAGAGTAATATTTTCTCATTTGAGGAAGGTAAACTTCTAGAAAATCTCTAAATTCTACATAATTATGTGACAATACAAACAAATACTTGTAAAAGAGTAATATTTTCTCATTTGAGAAAGGTAAACTTCTAGAAAATTTCTAAATTCTATATAATTATGTGACAATACAAACAAATACTTGTAAAAGAGTAATATTTTCTCATTTGCGAATGGTAAACTTGTACACAATTTTGTACAACTGTACAAACAGTACATGACCCTCAAAACCCTTGTGAAAGAATAATATTTTCTATTATTCGAGTACTATTAATTCACCATTCACGAGACGAATAAGAAACATTTCTTATATTTTATTATTTTCTTTTTGCTTTTTACTTTTTTTTGACATCAAATGTTGTTTAACCCTGTTTAATTGGATTATTTAGAAATCTCTATGGATTTTGAAATTGACAAAAAGCATTTCCCGCACTTGTACAATTAAATGTTAGGTGTAGGTGCATGCCAATTCACTATATGCTAGTCGGGAATGCTTTAATAATAAAATTAATAATAAAATTAAGTAAAAAAATTAATTAAGAAAGATGCTTTTAAGAAAATCTTAATGAAACTTCAATTTGAATAAGTAGAATATGCTAAAATCCGTAGGTAAAATATTTCTTTCAAAAGATATATTTCCAATTTTAAGCTTTATTGCATTTTACTTGATATTCTTATCTAAACATTTGAAGATCATTTTTTAACAAAAAAATTACGGAAAATGTTATTTTCATTGAAATATTAAGGAGATATGCGTTTCAGACACACCCAAAAGTAACTCACTCTTGAAGTCAAACAACAAAGATTTTGTCTGAAAACTAAATTTGAAACTTGCTTTGAACCTTTCAAACTTATTGAAGCATGGAATTCTGCTAAATTATTTATTCGAATATTTTGGTTCAGTTAACTCCACGTGAACAATTTTTGCTATAAAAGAGTCTCCAAACAAGACATCATCACAATCGTTTCAAAAAGCTCTAATCGCCAACAGCAGCATTTTCGCACCCAAGCATGCCTCAACTCGCAGTTGCACTTCTTTTCTCTTTGGTCTGCTGTACTTTAGCTGGACCAGCAATCATTCCAGCCGCTTTTCCAGGACAAGTTCCAGTTCTAGCAGCTCCAGAACCACCAAAACCCTACGAATACGGATATGAGTTTGGAGATGGTCTGGGCATGACACAACATCGTCGTGAAGTTGCTGATGGTACTGGAGTAGTCAAGGGTAATTACGGATACCTGGATCCCATTGGAGTCTATAGAAGAGTTGAGTATACTGCTGGAGCCGATGGGTACAAAGCTGTCATCCACAGCAATGAACCAGGACTCTCAAGCCATGCTGCTGGTGATGCTCTTTATGTGGTGGAATTACCACCCCCCGCTGCTGTAGCTCAAGGTCTCCGAGCTGCTGCCGCACCTGTTGCATCAGTTAATTATGTATAAAATCTAATTATGTTTTTGTGCATAAATAAAAGCGATTAGAGCATTGATGTTACTTTTTACTGCTAACAAATTTCCAACAAAAAAGTTTTTTTACATTTGAATGATTTCCACAAGAATTTCAAATTTCAAAAACATTTGCTTAAAAATGTGAAAGTCTTAAATTTTGTAAAACATATTATTTTCAAAAAACTTCTGTAGTTTTAGGTCTTAGAGTAAAATAACATGTCAAGTGATGTCTTAGAAATATTTTTTTATAACATTTAAATAGCAAAAGTGAGAGCTAAAATCAAAATTTATTATAGTTCTCAAAATTGCATTTTAATTTTTTAACTGCCTCTTTTAAAAACATTCTTTAAAAGATGGATAAACTGAAAAAAAGGAGAAAAACCTAATTTTTTAAATTTTAAAGTTGTAACAAATCGTCCTATACTCATTTAGTTCATCGAATTTTTTTTTTGAAAAATTGTCTACTTCTTAAATTTATTACTTTAATCTTACCATATCTACCATATGAGTTTGGGGGAAAGTGAAAATTTTTCAAACATGATTGGCGAGAAAAAAAGACAGAAAAAGCACACAAAAAGACAGAATTATGTATACAGAATTATATATTTAGAATCGTGATTAAAAACTTCATTCGTTTCAAAAGCATACAAATTGGAAATAACATTCGACTTGTTTCAATCGCTTAAAAATAAGCGACCATTTTCAAAACTAATTTCTATTTATCGTAAACATTTTGCCGTCTCTTTGCCTCTATCATGTTTATTCTAATAACCCGAATTGTCAGAAAATTTCTGCATAATATGCCTTCGTTTTCTGTGTACTAAACCTTTGCTCAGACTCTTCTTCTTTAAACTCTGAACTTAACCTCGTCCGCTCTCTAGCTGTTTACCGTGGATTTAACCCTTTAGTTGATTAAGCTCTTGCTGAACTCGCTATACCCAAATGCCCCTCTTCTTCTAATCCTTATAAGAAAACTTGTCATTTCGCCATTTTTTTTTCTTCTCACGCTTATAAATTGCTGAGATTCCCCACCCGTTTTGATTTTATAGTCATTTTTAGTCCTATTAACAAAATTAAATCTAAGTCTCTTTGAGATCTTATTAGTTTTGATAATCACTGCGGTGTTTACCACATAGCTTGTCAGTGCGATCTTGTGTACATCAGACAAACTAAACGCGTTTTAAAATTTAGACTTAAAGAACATGATAAATATGTTCATTATCAAGAAAACGAGAAATTATCAATTGCTGCTAATTTTTTGAACCTTCATAATGGCATAAATATGTAATGGCATAAAGGTACGGGCATAAATTCAGTTTCGGTATCAGCTCATCTTGATTCCTTGAAATCTTGTTTCATTCATATGAATGCAAATTTCCTTGCTAACGACATTAGTTCCTCACCACCTCTCCATAGCACGTAGAAATGAATTTTACCTTGATCTGCTCCTCTCAGCCACTTTGTTTGATTTTTTTTTTTTGTTGCTCTGTTTTTTCATCGTTTTTTTTTTCTTTTATGGTGACAGTTTTTTTTATTTTTTATATAGTTTTATTTCTCTCCTTTACTTTTTCATTTTTCGTTGGCAATTTTACGTTTTATGCTTCAAATCCCTTTTGTTAAGAAGAAAAGTTTCATTCAACAGATTTTATTTGAAATGATTGCCTTACAGCGAAATAATATTAATAACATAATAAAGACATAATAAAAGATAATAACAGCAGATCAACTGCTATATTTAATTAGAGCAAATAATAAAAATTCCCTTTCGCTGCAATTGAATATGATTAAAAAAAATTTAAATTTATCAACGAAATAATGTCACATAAAAAAATTTTCAGAATGTATATAGATGTTAATAAAAATTGGGGAATAAATGTGTATAAAACGCTCTCATTTCAAAAAATTTACGTTTCGAACATGCATTATTAAATAATTTCATGTAACAGGTTTTCTAGGCTGAAGTTATGAACATATGTTTCTGATATTAGAATTATTTTTCGAAAAATATGCTCTACAAGGGAAATTTTTAATTATGTATAGTTAATTAAAAATATATAAATATCCACAACTCCTTTGATAAATTTTTTTTTGGAATTTTAACATTATTTTCTTATTATTCACAAAATGCTCCATTATTTTTGTTAAATTCCTATAAATAATCAATAACATTAAATATTTTTAAGAAATACTAATAATTTTTTTTTCGAAAACTTGCACCATGGATTTATAATGTCGAATTACAAAATTTTTTTATAATATTCAAAGACGTGTGTAAAAAATATAAACTGATTGCAATTTTTATGGCATAGCGATACAATTATCTTTTAATTTGTTAATCATGTCCTAAATCCCCTCATAACTAAATTTTTATATTAAAAAAGTGTGAGTTCATTTCCTAAACTTAACATGCAAAAAAATAACGAAAAATCCATTCAGTATTTATGTACATAAAAAATCATTTGAAAATGTTGACTGATTCGTACATTGTGATTGGACAATAAATTACATGCTATAATCCAATTTTTCTTGCATAAATATCCAGGTTTATTTGGTAGTCATAAGCATAGAAACAATAAAGTTATAAAATTTTCATTTATCTATAAATTATTTCTAAAACCATAATTACAGATAGTTAAATGTAATTTTTATTTATCATCCCTTCTTGATATTCTCTGCTGTTGAAACCACTTTTATTTTGATTATTAATTTAATTTAATTTAGATGGTGATACTTTATATGTAAATCTTATGATACCAACTCATTATTACTCAACATTTTAAAATAAACATATTTAAACCAGTATCTAAACTTGTTTACTGTTCTACACAAGCATGCATTGATATGTTAATAATTTTTATAATCGCAAAATTAATTAAATATGCAGCATGTGCTTTTATTTCAAGTTTCGCCTAATACTGAGTCTAATAACTTATGCAACTGAAATAATGAATACGAAACAGTTAAATATTGCTAGGAATATAAATTAATATCTTTGGCGAAAAACTCTTAATGAGTTTTTACAGTAATTAAATAGGAATTTTAACAAAAAATTGTAAATGAAAGTGCAACGGTAACCGTGCAAATTAATTAGATTAAATTTTTATGCCAGTAGTAACGGATATATAATAAAATACTTCGGAGTTTTCAATTGAAAACTTTTTAATTTTAGTGTAACAATCTGTTTGTATTTATTGTTAATTTACAACGAAATATTTTATCAATCATGAGAGTTGATGAGAGAAGTGATATGGATCAGGAAACTATGCTTATTTTTAATCCAGACATCACTTTGTTTCATAGTTTCATTCAAAAAGAATTTTAAATAGTTGTCACTCCTATTAGTGACCTTAATTTTTTTAATTTCTGAGAAATATTCTTACAATCCAAAAACTATGGCAAAATTTAGAGCTTTTTTTTCTTATTTTTACTTTGCGTTTATACTGATGCTGGGTCCCTTTACAATTCGCGCGAAGGAGAAAAGTTCTTGTGTTGTCTATTTATTCTGCTTTATTATTTAAAATGTGAAACAATATTCTTCGGAATAAAACAAAAACATGGTTCTTAACGTTGGTCAACTTTAAAAAAGGATTTATTGATGAAATAAGTAAAGAAAATCGAATTATGGGGTTGTAATGGACACCATTTTGCTATGAAATATTTAGAATTTAAATTTACATTAACTTTAAGGGGAAAATTATATCTTAATTAATTTTTTTTAATTATATATAATTTATTGCAATATTTTTATCATCAATTACAGTAAAAAAATATCAGTGTTTGTTTTATTGTAATGCATTGATCATTATTAATAGGATTTATTAATCCTTATAAATAGGATTATTGATCATTATTAATAGGATTTTATGGATCATCCACGTAAGCAGGAAAACCTATAAGTACCATGAGTACTGAATACTCAAAATATTAATTTTAGAAAATATTACTTTGTAAATAGTTTCAGATCACTCTAGTGATTTTTTCTTTATTATTTTCGCTTCTTATGCTTTATTTTTAATTTATTTCTTAGTTAAGAACTAACATATAACACTGCTTAGTTGAATTACCTCAAGTTTTCAATGGCATTTGAGTTCGAATTAGTATTAACGCTTCTGACTATTTTGTTCACTGAACTCTAGATTCAATAAAATTCTATATATACCACCCAGCTTGAATACAAGAACAAAATTTAACTACGAAAAAAAGCATGGTATTAAAAATCCATATTTAACTCGAGCAGTACACTGTAGAAAATTTTGGTGTAGAGGTAAAGTAAAAAATTTAAAAGTTCATGTAGACAAATTTTTTATTTACTTTTTCACTGTTATAGTTGTATTTTTGTTTGCTTGTTTGCTGGCTCCACATATTTTCATGCGCAATAGTATCAACTTAAGGTCATTGCAAAAATATTTCGTTTAAAAAACAAGAACATTTTTAGTAATATATCCACACTAATTACTTCAAACGATGGATATTTTGTCAATTTTACCTAATTTTTTGAGCAATAATTACAGTTCTGTACTTAAAACTATATTTAGTTAGTTTACTTCAACACCAAAAATGAAGGCAACTATGCACCAAATATTTTGGAAGTATACAAACAGCGAAGAATAATGACAAGCTTTAAATTAAATGTATGTTGTTGTTTTTTTAATAATTGTTGAATTTAGAAATTGGAACCTTTAATTGAAATTCGTCGTTACAGCTTCTTATTACTAAAAAATATTTTATTTAATTGAAAACACGCTTCAAACGCGTTAGTTACAATATTTCTTTCGAACGAATTTCTACGTCTGCATATGAAATTCATTACATTATACTTGCCACAATTATTCACGAACTATTGATTATTTAACAAAAGAGTTAACACAATTATTTTTTCAAGGAAATAACTTTAAAATATCTCCGACACACCCAAAAATGCTTTACATGTAATGTGAAATAAATAAATTTCATCTGAAGACTAAAATTCAAAGCTTGCTTTCACACTTACGAACTAACTGAAGCATAAAATTCTCTTTGTAAATTCCATGTTCAAATCTTATGGTTAAGTAAATTCAATATGTATAATCTTTGCTTTAAAAGAGAATCCAAACAACAGCTGAACACAATCGTTTCAAAAAGCTCTAATCGCCAACAGCAGCACATTTTCGCACCCAAGCATGCCTCAACTCGTAGTTGCACTTCTTTTCTCCTTTGTCTGTTGTTCTTTAGCTGGACCAGCAATCGTTCCAGCAGCTTTTCCAGGACAAGTTCCAGTTCTAGCAGCTCAAGAACCACCAAAACCCTACGAATACGGATATGAGTTTGGAGATGGTTTGGGCATGACACAACATCGTCGTGAAGTTGCTGATGGTACTGGAATAGTCAAGGGTAACTATGGATACCTGGATCCCCTTGGAGTCTACAGGAGAGTTGAGTATACTGCTGGAGGTGAAGGATACAAGGCTGTCATCTATAGCAATGAACCAGGACTCTCAAGCCATGCTGCTGGTGATGCTCTTTACGTAGTGGAACTACCACCTCCCGCTATAGTAGCACAGGGTCTCAATGCTGCAGCACCTGTGCCATCAGTTAATTATGTATAAAATCTATTTGACTTTTGTGTATGAATAAAAGCGATTAGAGCATTGATATCACTTTTATTGTTGTTAAATTCTCGGAAAAACAATTACGAAAGAAAGGTTTTTTTTTTAAAGAAAATAGGTATTTAATCAAACTGTAAAAATGTTTTAAATATCTAAATTTTGACTTATGATGAAATTTTAGAAATGCTTTTCTTAGTCTCTATTGAAATTCAAAAAATTTTCTCAGAATGCACCACTTAGCATTTGAAGAATTTTCTGTACAAAAGTGACAATGGAACAGGAAATTATAAAAATCATTTTAAAAAATTTCAAGAAATGCTTACTTATGTTAAAATGCTATTTTCTGGCAAATTTAATTTTAAATCTAAGTGAATTTAAGAGACAAGTGAAGAGTAATGTCAAGTGAATTCTATTTTTCGTGTGTTTTCAATAAAATAGAGATTCTTGGAAATCCTCTATTTTTAAAGTTTTAGAGCAACTTACGGTTCCTAATATATAGTTATGATAAAAAAAGAGAACTTATATAGAGTTGAAACTTTATTAAAATAGAGAGCTAATAAAAGCTTTGGTTTCAATAAAATAGATACCTAATATCGAGCTCAAATTTTTAACTAGAGTAATAGTATAGAGCTATGACTAATATAATATTATTTAAAATAGAACTATAGCTAAAAGCATAAAGAATTAATAAGAGGCTACAGCTGATAAAAAAATAGAACTGAAAAACTATAGTTCTAATAAAATAGACAGCTAAAGTAGAGTTACAGCTCAAATAAAATCAAAATAGTGAGCTCTCTAATAAAAGTAAGTACAGTTCTACTAAAAGAGTGATATAGTATAAAGTGTAGGCTTATTCTAATTAGTAAAAACTGGGGTTTTTTTAAAATTTATTTTAGATATTTCTATGCATAATAAAGCTTTTATTTTGAAATTCTCAAAATTGGCATTGAACATCTTCTCCTCTTAAAAGAATTTACCTTCTTTACACTATTAGAATTTTCATTCTAAAATTACGGTAAAATAACTGGCAGCAGTCTGTCCATCCGATTAACCATAAAGTATACGGTAAAGAATATTTTTCACCTTTACGGTTTCGAAACCGTTAACATCTAGTGTGGTTATAAAATCATGAATTCAAAACAATACGGTTTTTTAACCATTTACAACTATCGTGGTTTCAAAATCGTACAAAAATAAATTTACCTGGACATAGGAGCTAGACTTCTCATTTGATAATGGACAGTGGAGAGTCCAGAACACTGAAAATTCTTCATGTGTGTTAAACGGAATGGAGGTGTCAACGCTGCGACTCGAACCCCCGTTTTGTCGATCATGAGATTGACAGATTAGCTCTCTCGGCTGTAATATGTGCGCAGTTGCAAGGAACTAAGTTGCTTCATTAGGTGGGCTCAGTTGGTGCTGTAAAATTATTGTTATTTAACCGTTTTAGGTAAAAATAGTTAATAAATGATTTTTCTCACTGTTAATAGTTTCATTAGTATCTTATTTATGGTTATTTGACTGTTTTGTTTAAATATGGTAAAATAACAATTAAATAGATTGTTATTTAGCCATTTTTTCCGAGAAATTTCTAACAGTGTAGGTAAACGGGAAACCCAAGTCCCAGTGAAAAAATGAAAAAAGAGGGATGAAAAGAAGAGGAAATAGTTATTGCACTGTTTTTAAGCTTACCTAGATTATTTAACGTCGCTTGCATTTGGCGCATTGAGGTTAAATCCGACTCAGTTTTATTAAGCTATACTTTCAATTAATCTACACATCAAGTTCTTAAAATAAATAAGTCTTAGGCTTATATTTACATCCTCCATATTATTTTTAGAATTGTTTCTTTCGTATCTCAAAATGTATACTCTTTTCATTTTTAGAAAACAACTTACAAAAAGTAAATAACTTAACACTCGATTATTTTGTAAGCAGAAAATAAACTTTAAGTTATACCATTTTTTTTGCTTCAATATTATTTTTTATTAACATTGTAATTTAATTTATTTCTATTTTTTAATAGCTTCATAATTCTTTTTTGAAGCTAGCACTCTGCTCTATATTATTTTTGCTATTATTTTTCAAAACAAAAACTAAACTGATTATTTTAACATTAAATCCTTTCAATTTAAACGAGGATATAACGAATAATTTGACTGTAACTAAAAATATTTTCATTAAACTAATAAGAAAACAATAATACTTAATTTTAGAAAAAAATATTATCATTTTTTTTATAAGCCAATCTAATTTTAACAGTAAGAAATCAAATCTTGACGTATAAATCAAATTAAAACCAACGAATGTCTTTGTAAAACTGGGCTGCAGTGTCTGAGTTGAAGTAGCAAACGAAGAAAAATTCACAAGTGTTAAGAGTTGGTGTCAACTGGGATAGAAGCAGGGTTCTCTGAACCAAGAATCAGTTGCCTTTTATTTTCCGCCACCAATACCCCATTATCCTATCATTTTTTTAACTTAATATTAAGTAACCTACGACTTAGAAGGGCCAGATCTTGACTCAGGAGTCGCAGCGGAGGCAAATTTTTATACCATGTTATGTTATGCTCTTTAATTTAAGTTTAGTTCAGTTTCAATGTGAATTTTACAGGTGTTTACTTCATTTATAAGCATGATCATAATGGAGCACAGTCTTGGTTTCTTGGGTTAGTGTTTCTAAATATATTACAGACGTAACTTTTCAAACGATATCTTTGTATTCAGATCTTTAAATGATAAAGTGTTAGATTACAAACAAAATTCTTGCTAGTATTAACGAATTTTTACAACCGCTATTATTCTACAATATTATTACAAATTTATGCGACCCGTTGCAATTCTACAAGAAGAACTATGGACTTTAAAAGTCTTTTTAAAAATGACTGATTCAAAAAAAAACGTACAGAGTGCTTTATGCAAAAGAGTGACATTACTAACGAACTTATTTGGATTCATTAATTAATTCGTCAAAAAAATAATAATAATTTTAGGAGTAGTAGCAAAAACAGAATAAAATGGCTTCGTCTACTTTTCAAAATAGCTAAATCTATTTTCCAAAGCAACTCTGCGTATTTTTCTAAATAGCTGTATCCATTTTTCTAAATATCAATGTCTGTTTTCCGAAATTTTTGTGCGTATTTTTCAAAATATCTATGTATATTTTCTTAATCGTGCATTATAAACTATATCATTTTCCTTAAACACGCATTTTGAGCTTTGCCCAAAATAAAATAAGTTCTTTTGACTCTATGCTTTTTATAATACAAAACTAAATCCCTTCTTCTTTGTATTTTAAAGAGTTACTTTTTAAAGTATTAATAACTATAAATAAGGCTAGTAACCTGCATGTGATTAATGAGACTGATGTCTGTTAATTGAGCTTGTTTCTTGATCTAGCTTTCATTGACCGCAGAATTAAAATAAAATACTGCAGTAATACATAGATAAATTAGACTTTTTAATTTCAGTATCAACAAAGATAGGTTTTGTACTTTTCTTTTATATTTAACATAAATTATAAGAGAAAGAAGGTTCCAAGTTTTCTTCAAAAAAAAAATCTAAGTTAAAGAAAATGCTATGATCAACCGTAATTTCATACCAAATAATTGTTTCTGTGTTGGTTTTATTTAAGAACTAATCGTTTCTGTGTTGTTTTTTTTTATTTCAATCTCTAATAAAAAAAAGACAGCTTTTGCTATATCTGAATTATTTGTTCTTAAATTCACGAAAATCTCATTTTGTATTTTCTTTCATTAATCTCTTTAAATCTGAATACTTTGAATAACCCATCTTAAGTCATAATCTTTAATATATAATTCTGAGTTTATAAAATTTTCACTTTTATCTTTCTGCTTTTAGTCTGATGCAATATTAATATTGCTATAAATTTATTACAAATTACATCAAAAAATTTTAAATTTTGTCTCAAATTTTGAGTTTTTGAAGTGAAATTTCCTGAATTATTCTGAATTGAAGTCTTTTGTGAATTGAAGGCTCTGAATTGAAGTTATGACTAAAGTATTTTAGACATTTAGACTCTTTGCCATTAGAAATGTGTCAGATATTTGAACAATAATATCATTTAGATATGCCAAATTTAATTCACTGCAAAATTCTGGATCTATTGATGGTAAAAAAAAATACCTGCACTTTGGGTGTATCATCCATAAAATCTATTGTTTTTACCGCAAAATTTTTACAGTAATATTTATTTAATTACAGTGATTCAGTGATTTTATAGCAAATACTACTGAAAAAATTGCGGTCAATAAAATTCTTTGTTCCTTAAAATTTTACTTTAAAAATGATTTTTACATTAAAAAGTAATGGCACTCGTAGTGCAGCCACTTTTTTCCGTAATTCTTTACTGTGTATGGTGATTAGTTAAATCTAACCGAATTAATGAAAATGATTATTAGTACATTTAAAAGTTAAAATTCATTAAATTCATATAAATTATATTTAATAGTATATTTCATTTAAGTGAAAACTTTGTGTATTTAATATTGAGTTGCTAATAAACATATTTGAGATTTTTAGACTCCTTGCTATTTTTAGCTTGGCCATAGCATTAAAATAAAAAAATTCAACTGATTGTTGTAATAGTATTTCTATTGTTTCTGTGAAAACTATAAGAGCATTAACCAGTGTTTATGTTTGTTTTTTACAAAAAGTTCTTTGTGAAGAACTTTACTTGTAAAGAACTCAAAATCTGATAAATTGTTTGCTTGAATTTCTTATTTCTAGTTATTTGGAATAACAATATATACTGCATTTTAACTATCTGACTAATAGAAAACATATTTTTAGATAGAGATTAAAATTTTATTAAATTAATGAAAACACTTATTTGTATTTTCGGTAAGATTACACTAATTAGAAAACCACAGTAGTAGAATTATATTTAATTTAGCTCCACTTTTCGCGCATTGACTTGAGATTAATCCTCAATCTCTGGTGCAAAAAACCACCAAATATTTTATGGTTTAACCTTATTTTAT